GGGTCCCCGCAGGAGGAGGTGACCCTCGGACAAGGGGCTCACAGGGAAATTGGGGTCCCGGGGCCGAGGGAAGGGGGTTCATTGGGGCATGGGGAGGGAACGGGATCCGGGGGGAGCGGGGGTGTCCCCGGGAGGGGAGGAAGGTCACCAGGACAGCGGTGTCCGGCACTGCGGGGCGGAGCGGGGGGGAGGGACCGGAGGGGACATCGGGGGGATATCGGAGGGTTCGGGGACACCGCGCTGAGCCATCCCCGCTCACAGGGGCGGGCCCGGGGCCGGGGGGCGGTGGCAGGAGCCGGGCCCGGCCCCTCCCGCTCGGCTCGGACGGGAAGGGGAAGGAGCGGAGAGGAAGAGGAGGAGTTGGGCTGTACCTGGTGCGCGTCATTGCCCGCGGTGCCCATGGCTGGGGCGGCCGAGCCGGCGGGGCTGCGSGCTCAGCGGTGAGGAAACCGAGATTGGAGGGGGTTAGAGGGGAAAAAAGGAGCTGTGGAGAGCGGGAGTGCCCTTCCTCCGACACCCGCGGGGGTCCCGGGGCTGAGAGCGGCGGGGATGCCGGGGGTGCTCGGGGAATGCTCGGGGGCTGCTCAGGGGATGCTCAGGGCTGGAGAAGCATGCTGTGGGATGCAGGAGGATGCTCGGGGGATGCTCAGGGATGCAGGGGAATGCTCGGGGATGCGGGAGGATGAGGGAGGATGCTTGGGAATGCTCCGGCATGCAGGAGGATGATCAGGGATGCGGGAGGATGCTCAGAGAATGTTTGGGGATGCTCAGGGATGCAGGAGGATGCGGGAGGATCAGGGTGCTCAGGGAATGCTCGGGGATGTTTGGGGATGCTCCGGGATGCAGGAGGATGCGGGAGGATGCTCAGGGAATGCTCGGGGATCTTTGGGGATGCTCAGGGATGCGGGAGGTTCAGGGATGCAGGAAGATGCTCAGAGAATGTTTGGGGATGCCCACGGATGCAGGAGAATGCTCAGAGAATGCTCGGGAATGTTTGGGGGTGCTCAGGGATGCGGGAAGATGCTCAGAGAATGTTTGGGGGTGCTCAGGGAATGTTTGGGGATGCTCGGGGATGCCGGAGGATGTTCAGGGAATGCTCGGGGATGCTGCGGGGCCGACTCTGACCGTGTCATTCCTCATCCCCTTGGGGAGCAGGGGTGTTTTTGGAAGGGAGCGATTTGCAGCCCCGGGCAGGGCTTGGCTTCCCCTTGGGGTGATAAAGGACAAATTTCAGCCCGYTTAGAAGAAATTACATTTCTCTCTGTTAATATTTGTTATTATAGTCGCAATTAACTAATTGAAGCTCAGTAAACAGTTTTGGTTAAGAATCCTCTGGGCTGTTGTGTTCTAGCAGCAAGTCAATAATGTTATTTTCTTGCCCTTCTGCCGGGGTTGTTCACTGCTAAGTTGTTTTTTCCCTCGAGCCGCTGCTCATTCAGCCGAGGCTCRCACCCCTCCTTTGGGTTTTGGTGGGGTTTTKGGGGTGTTTTTTTGGCTTTWARGACAAGAAAARTGCRCTGTGCAGCCCCAAATCAGCGCCTGACCTTTAAAGGCTGTGCTGGGCTGTGCCTGGGGAGGAAGGGGAGGTTCCCCAGTGCCATTGGGGCGTTTTTTGGGAAGAAAATTCCATCTCTGCCATGGAATCGCAGCGCAGACCCGGCCGTTCCCTTGAGATGGCTGTGACTGAGATGTCCCCAAGCGTTCCTGTGTCACCCCCTTCCATAAATCACAGGGCAGTGCCCAAACTGGGTGGGGTTATCACATGTTGGGAGCGATCGCAGATTGAGACAAAATCTTCATTTTGTCTGCTGTTACTCAGTTAAATGCCTTGGCAGCTTTTTCTGCTCAGCCTGTGTTTGTTTTCTTCATCTGGAGTCTCAAGGACGATTTTGTGTGGTTTTTTCCTCCCCAAATACGATTTTTCACCTCTCAAGTGATGCTTCTCCAGTGTCCTTCATCGTGCTGTAGCTTCCACGGAGGTGGCAGGTGTAATATGAAAAATTAATTAACATTCTTAAAATGACCCTTCCTCCAACCTAGGTGATGTAAATGAAAGCATGGCAGAGTTCCAGGGAAGATGTGGGAGTATTTTGGGTTTTATAAATGGATAGAAAATAATTAGAGAAACACTAACTGGCACTGATGATTGAATCTCATTAACTCATCTTTGCCCGTTYGGGGATTTAATTAAAATATCGTGGCTGAGGGAAGGGGTTGGTGCTGTGTTAGACCCTGGTGTGGCATTGAGGAAGGATCTCAGTGGGGTTTGTGTTTCTGTGAATCCTCTGGGAGCAAACAGGAGCTTCCAGGGCTCTCTGTGAGCACAGGGTGCAGGGATTTTCATGACCTGTAAGCAGCAGCTGCTGCTTTTGATTATTTTCCAAACACTCTGCTGTCACTGGGAGTCGTTTCTTGCCTGAAAACATCCAGAGGAGTTGTGCTGGTTTTCCCTGCAGGGCTTGGTTACTGTCACAGCTTGGTGTTGAAGCATTTTGTGGTTGGATTTTAGTTTTTTTTTAAATGATTTTTTTTTTTTTTAATTTTGCTTTCATCTTTGAAGCAGACTCAGTGTGAGGGCAGCACTCCAGGCTGGGGGTGGGATCCCTTCCCAAGGTTTTTTTTCCAGTGATGTGCAGCTGTATCCCACATCCCTCGTGCTGCATGGAGGACCCCAAAACCACACTGGAAGCAGGGATTTGGTTCCTTTCAGCCCTTTTCCCTCCTCTCATCCCTCAGACTGGCTCAATGTATAAAATATTTTGTGTATTTGAGTTCATAGTGGTTCTGACACCTGAGCAACTCCTGTGTCCGGTTATTCCCCTATTAAAACACAGCCAGGGAAGGAAAAACGAGCCCTGTGGTGTCTGACAGGTAACAGAAACACCAGCCTGCTTCTGGAATGAGTATTTAGGATAAATCCCTAAAATCTGCGCTGTGTTTTTGGTGAAATGCTGAGAAATGATTTAATTTTTCATTGGGTGTTGCTGCAGGAGGGGTTTGCGACACCCGGCCCTGTGCCCTGCTGAGCTGCTCTGTCCCACCTTCACAGGTGAAATGTTCCAGCATTCCCAGCTCAGGAAGCACAGGGAGATGTAGCCTGACCCGATATTCCCAACCTCAGCCAGCAAAAAGGGTGGAAAAACCCTGGGRGAGAAAAATTGGAGAGAGAGAAAAACCCAGGAGAGAAAAACCCCACCCTCCATCCGCCACCAGGTACGTGCAGGGCGGCATCTCCTGCCAAAACATTTTCCATGGAATTAAATTCATTTTTCCCCTCTGCCAGGGGTGACCTGGGAAGGTTGGGATGGGATGGGGAGGGAAATCCGTGGATCTGGCTGTTCTCCAGCAGGGAAAGGGGGTTATTCATGCTCCATTGCCCAGCTCGCCCGGGGGCAGCTGGCGCCGCTCTGCCCTGCTCTGGCTGCCTGCCCAATGCTCCTGCAATTCTGCTCCCAGAGAAACTCTGCCTGCTGGGATTTATGGGGAGAAAAATGAAAATAAACCCAGTTTAAACTGAGTTTAGTGAGCTGGTCTAGAGCTGGTGCTGTGCTTGGCTGGAGGGGTGGGTCTGTGTTGTCCTGAGGCATCTCCTGCCCAAATTCCCAGCTGGATTCCCCATTTCTCACATCCCACATGGGCAGTGCCAATTCCTCCAATTTCTGCCAATTTCTCAGGCACTCAGCACATCTATCAGAAGGCATTGAAACGGGAAAAACCAAAAGTGCAAACTTCCTGTGGAAATACAAACCCAGGAGGCGCTGAATGCTGCAAGCGCCTGGTGTTGGCTTTGGGAATTCTTTTGGCTTTGGGAATTCTTTTGTCATTTAATAAAGATGTCTTTTTTTTTTTCTTGAACTAGTCCTGAAAAATGGCACCAGCTACTCCAAGAGAGGCAGGAGTATGGAGGCAAACCCGAGCTCTTCTGTTCAAGAATTGTCTGATTAAGTGTAGGACCAAGAAAAGCAGTGTCCAGGTAAGAGATGAGTACTCAGATCCTGCTAGTGACCTATCCATGTGTTTAAATAACTCCCAAAGCAGAGGCAAAATTCGGTTTTATTATAAAATTCATGAGGCTTCATGGACTGCTCTGAATTTTGGGGTGAAATGGGCTTTTTCAGATGGTGTTTTGTGGTCCTTTGGTTGAAAAATTATCATTGTGTGTGAGGCTTTATCCAGAAAATGGCCTTGAATATTAAATTTTATATACATAGAATAATACATTTCAAGCAGCATATAATCAATAGATTACACTAATTAATAATATCAATACATTGATTACTATATTAGTAGAGATATTAGTAAATATATTAATAAATTAATGTCACTATGTTCATATATGTACACTGAAGTATATATTATACATAGTAATAATATAAATATAATAATAGAAGTAAAAGATTGTATTCGTAATGTATGTTATTATATATAATATATATAATTATTATAATATAAATAATATGTTGATTAAAATATCCTTAAATATTGCCCTCTCMGTGCACTTTTCAAAGCTTTTCCAGCTGCAACCACACAGAAAAGCGAGGTCAGACCTCCCCAAAAGATTTTTTTTTTATCCTTTCCCCCAGTCCAGCCCTGTGTGTGGATGATTTGATGACACCTCAGGATGAATTTTGAGGGAAAAAAGAGCCATTTCAGTGCTTGACAGGGCTCCTGCAGTGGCTCACGGCTTTTGTTTTGCTCCTCTGCAAAGAGCAGGAATTTGCAGATGTTTAAAGCTTGTAGGACGATCCCTTTGGGCTTTAAAATGCCTTCTTAAGTTACTAATGCCTGAGATTAAACCCTGCTCCAGCGCCAGGCAGAGGATTTGGCATTAAAATCACAAACACTGAGGRAATTTCACATCCAGAACCCGATTTGGTATTAAAATCACAAACATTTAGGCAATTTCACATCCAGAAACCGATTTGGCATTAAAATCACAAACATTAATGGAATTTCACATCCAGAACCCGATTTGGAATTAAAATCACAAACATTCATGGAATTTCACATCGAGAAACTGATTTGGCATTAAAATCACAAACATTCATTGAATTTCACATCCAGAACCCAATTTGGAATTAAAATCACAAACATTTAGCCAATTTCACATCCAGAAAATGCTCTCAGCTCCTCCTCTGAGCATCCCGGGCGCGGTTTCATTTCCACGACCGCGCTCTGAAATATTCCATTTTTTTTTTTTAATTTTTTGGGATGCAGGAGGTGCTTTTCCCGCTGTTTTTCCTCTTCTGGCTGATCCTGATGAGCATGATGCACCCGCACAGGAAATACGACGCCGTTCCCAACGCCAACCTGGGTCCCCTGGACACGGCGGTGCTGCTCAACTTYGTCATCGGTTACACCCCACCCTCGAGAGTGGCTCGGGAAATCATGAAGAAAGTGGCTTTTGATAACTTTGAGGATGGTATTCACCCCCCTAATTTGATTTTTTTCGCTCTCCTGTCCCTTGCTGTGGGTTGTGTTTGGAGAGGGAGCTCAGCGGTGATGCCGTAGGGAAAATCTGGTTAATCCCATTGGGATTTTTTTTTCTGGTTTGGGTTTTTTTTGATTAAAAATCCCCATTTTTTTGGGTTAAAATATACCCCTGGCACTTCCATCTCTGAGATTTTAATTGAGATTTCTCTGCCAGGCCTCCTGACCGAGGAGTATTTGAGTGAGGAGGAGCTGGAGGAGGCCAGCGCTCTCAAACCCTCCAATTTCGTGGGTGTGGTGTTCAAGGATTCCATGTCCTACCAGCTGAGATTCCATGACTCCCTCGCCATGTCCCCCATTTATATGGAMTCCCGAGGTAAATCTGCCTGCTCTGAGAGGGAAAACATTGGGAAATAATTCCATATTTTTATCTTTTTAAGTGGTGTTGTGTGGATTGGTTGATTGAGGTTGTTCGCTGCGTTGTTTGGGATGGTTTTGATGCCTTTGTGGGGCTCACCTAAAGCAGAGGCTGTGCAAAATTAACAGAATAAAAACCAATAAAAAGCAATAAAATTAACCAATAAAAACCACTTCTGTTGATTGCAGGGCCTTCAGGGCAGTCCCACACCCACAATGGACAATGGCTCACGGGTTTTTCACCCTTTCTCACTTTTGTCCATTTGCACATCGGGATTTGCTGAATCCTCCAATTGCAGCTCAGCCAATGCAGTCATTCACTCCAAGTTGGCTCCCCCAATTCTCTGTTGTTTCCATCTCTTGGGGCCTGGCACAGGGAGGTGTCCTTGAGTTTGGGGCTGCAGAGGAATTGTTTTGTGTGAAAATGGGAGAGCAGGAGCTCAGCACTGTCTGTGGAGTTAAACACTGAACAATCCCAGGATTACGGAGATGTGGAAATAGAGAAACTGAAATCTTGTGGGATCAGCTTGGAGCACAGAAATCTGGGGTTTTTTGGGATTTTAATGTGGAATCAGAGGATGGTTTATTGGGAGGGGTTTTGGAGGTGGTCATTCCCTGTTTTCATTCCCTGCAGCCCCCTGCTCCCACCACCGCTCCAGCTGTGAGTCCATGTCCTACTGGAGCTCGGGGTTCGTGGCRCTCCAAGCCTGCATCGACGCTGCCATCATCCAGGTGAGGCTGCAAAAACCCCATCCCCACCCCAGGGAAGGGCAAATCCCACACTTCCCAAGCCCTGAACCTTCCCTGAATCCCGGGAAATGCTGTGCCAGAGCTCAGCTGGGACCTGCAGGGAAGGGGGAATAATTCCTGGTCTGGGACTGTCCGTGGGCTGTGGGATTTGCCTTATTTTGCTGAAAATTGCTCAGCAATTTTCCCAATTTCCCTCCTCTTGTCCCTCTCATGGTGACAGCAAATTCCATCTTTTTAAATTCAATTTTTAAAATTCCATCTTTTTAAAATTCCATCTGTTTAAATTATCCCATCTTATTAAATAATTATTATTCCATCTTTTGAAAAATCCATCTTTTTATTTAATTATCATTTTAAAATTATTTAAATCTCACATTTGCTAGTTTTATCTCCAAGCATTGTGATATTTCCCTGCTTTTGGATTGGGATTTGGGGTCGGGGAGGTTTTGGAGTCTCCAGATCTTTCCCTGCCAGTGGGGATGCAGCTGAAAAATCAGGAAAAATATCAAAATAACCTTTCCTCCTCTTCCTTCCAGCTSAAGACAAATCAATCCGTTTGGGAGCAGCTGGAGCTGACCAGAGCCATGGTTATGGGAGAGGCTGCTGTGGTGGAAATTGATAATTTCCCTCGTGCAATCATTTTGATTTACCTGGTGATTGCATTCTCCCCCTTYGGGTATTATTTGGCCATTCACATCGTGGCAGAAAAGGAGAGGAAGCTGAAGGAGTTCTTGAAAATTTTGGGRCTCCACGACACTGCATTCTGGTATGTGGGTGTTTGGGATAAGCTCTATTTTATAAAAGAAAAAGAAAAAAAATGAAAAAAAAATTTAAAAATAATTCTCTCTAGGAAACCTCTTCAATCCCACCCTCAGTTTTTCAATTGTTTTCAGTTTTTAACCGAAGACAACCAAAAACTGAGAGATTCTGTAAAATCAAACGGAAAGACACTTCCAGTAGCATGAAAATATGAATATTTTAATAAGTATTACTGCTGCATTTATTCATGGAAAGCTAYGCCAGACTTTGAGGGATTAAACCTCATTGTGTGTGAGATTTTTATGGAGGTTTTTTTATTGTTTTTTAATATTTTTGGCTCACTACCTCCTTTCCTAGAGGCTCAGCAGRTAACCTGCAGCCTGGCAGGTAATTAAACAAACCCAACTCTATAATTTTAACCTGCCAGAGCAGTCTCAGCAACAGGTTTTCAATTGTTCCCTCACCCTGATGAAAACTGTCCTGGGTGATAGAATATTTAATTTTTCTCCCTGATGATGTGTTAATTTGAAATCATTGATATTAAAGATAGAAAAGCAGCGTTTTTTTCTGCAGCATTTTTCCATCAGCACCTGAACAGCCACCTGGGGTGGTTGGAATGATTTTTTTTTTCCGTTGTTTCAGAGGAATTGTGTCATTCTGTGCACAAATTGTGGCATTCTGTGAGGTCAGAGCTGCTCACAAACCTGCAGCTCTGGATTTTATTACCTTGCCCAGCGCCTGTATTAAACTTTAAACAGAATTTCGTTAATTATTGAAACCCACAACTCTGTTACCCTCTTTTGCCTCTACCAGGGAATTAATTAGGGAAGCTTCAAACAAAAAAAGAAAAAAACAAAAAAAGAAAAAAACAAAAAAAAAATTATGAACCATCAAAAAACAAAAACAAACAAAAAAAAAACCCCGAAAAAAAATAATTGTGAAGCACCTGATTGTGCATCCTCAGATGTGTGCCAGAACAACCCAGGGATGTTCACAATTAYTCTCTGATTTGGGAGCTCCTGTTTTGCTGCACTCTTGGCTTTTAGTGCAGCTGTCTGGAATGTTAAAGAACGTTGAGTTTTGCTGTTTGGGTGTTTGGGGTTTCACTCATGATCTGTTTTTTCCCCCTGTTTTCCTCCCCAGGCTCTCCTGGGTGCTGCTCTACATCAGCCTGATCTTTGTCATGTCCATCCTGATGGCAGTGATCGCCACRGCCTCGTCCCTCTTCCCCCAGAGCAGTGCCTTTGTCATCTTCCTGCTGTTTTTCCTCTATGGGGTCTCCTCTGTGAGTATTCCTGGCTTTCCACCCCATCCCTGGTGGGTTTGATTCCTTTATTCCCAATTTCTTGTTCCCTCCACCGAAGGATTTGGGGTGGATGTTCTGTAGGGCTGAGCAGTTCCCATCCTCTTTCTTGGGTTTTTACTCTGGTTTGGGATATGGGAAGTGCCTTTCCTTCCTGAAGTTCCCCCTTTCCTTCCCGAAATTCCCCCTTTCCCTCCTGAAATTCCCTCCTTTCCTCCCCAAAATTCCTCCCTTTCCTCCCTGAAAGTCCTTCATTCCTTCCTGAAATTCCTTCTTCCCGAAATCCCCCCTTTCCTTTCCTTCCCAAAATTCCTTCCTCCTGAAATCCTTCCTTTCCCTCCTGAAATCCCTCCTTTGTTCCTGAATTTCCTCCTTTCCTTCCGAAAATCCCTGAATTGAAAATCACCAAGTCTAAGCTCTTATCCTATTGATATTATAGATACAAAACCAAAAATTAATAATAATAATAAAAAATAAAAAAACCCCTATTATTAAAACCTTGCTGTCTGTATTTTCCCTGTGCCCAGGTTTTCTTTGCCCTGATGCTGACTCCTCTGTTCAAGAAGTCCAAGCACGTGGGGATTGTGGAGTTCCTGGCCACGCTGGTGTTTGGTTTTGTGGGGCTGA